TACAGCATGTAGGTATACAGCATGTAGTGTAGGCAGCATGTAGTGTAGGCAGCATGTAGTGTAGGCAGCATGTAGTGTAGGCAGCATGTAGTGTAGGCAGCATGTAGTGTATACAGCATGTAGTGTAGGCAGCATGTAGTGTAGGCAGCATGTAGTGTAGGCAGCATGTAGTGTAGGCAGCATGTAGTGTAGGCAGCATGTAGTGTATACAGCATGTAGTGTAGGGGCAGCAGTAGTGTAGGCAGCATGTAGTGTAGGCAGCATGTGTGGGGCAGCATGTAGTGTAGGCACATGTATGTAGGCAGCATGTAGTGTAGGCAGCATGTAGTGAAATACAGCATGTAGTGTAGGCAGCATGTAGTGTATACAGCATGTAGTGTAGGCAGTATGAGTATACGGCATGAGTGTAGGCAGCATGTAGTGTAGGCAGCATGTAGTGTATACAGTATGTAGTGTAGGCAGCATGTAGTGTATACGGCATGTAGTGTAGGCAGCATGTAGTGTATACAGCATGTAGTGTAGGCAGCATGTAGTGTATACGGCATGTAGTGTAGGCAGCATGTAGTGTAGGCAGCATGTAGTGTAGGCAGCATGTAGTGTATACAGCATGTAGTGTAGGCAGCATGTAGTGTAGGCAGCATGTAGTGTAGGCAGCATGTAGTGTAGGCAGCATGTAGTGTAGGCAGCATGTAGTGTAGGCAGCATGTAGTGTAGGCAGCATGTAGTGTAGGCAGCATGTAGTGTAGGCAGCATGTAGTGTAGGCAGCATGTAGTGTAGGCAGCATGTAGTGTATACAGCATGTAGTGTATACAGCATGTAGTGTAGGCAGCATGTAGTGTAGGCAGCATGTAGTGTAGGCAGCATGTAGTGTAGGCAGCATGTAGTGTAGGCAGCTTTGTATGTAGGCAGCATGTAGTGTATACAGCATGTAGTGTAGGCAGCATGTAGTGTAGGCAGCATGTAGTGTAGGCAGCATGTAGTGTAGGCAGCATGTAGTGTAGGCATTATGTAGTGTAGGCACCCATGTAGTGTATACAGCATGTAGTGTAGGCACATGTAGGTAGGCAGCATGTAGTGTAGGCAGCATGTAGTGTAGGCGCTGTATGTAGGCAGCATGAAAGTGTAGGCAGCATGTAGTGTAGCAGCATGTAGTATTACAGCATGTAGTGTAGGCAGCATGTAGTGTAGGCAGCATGTAGTGTAGGCAGCATGTAGTGTAGGCAGCATGTAGTGTAGGCAGCATGTAGTGTAGGCAGCATGTAGTGTAGGCAGCATGTAGTGTAGGCAGCATGTAGTGTAGGCAGCATGTAGTGTAGGCAGCATGTAGTGTATACAGCATGTAGTGTGGGGAGCATGTAGTGTAGGCAGCAGTAGTGTAGGCAGCAGTAGTGTAGGCAGCATGTAGTGTAGGCAGCATGTAGTGTGGGCAGCATGTAGTGTAGGCAGCTGTAGTGTTACGCATGTAGTGTAGGCAGCATGTAGTGTATACAGCATGTAGTGTAGGCAGCATGTAGTGTAGGCAGCATGTAGTGTTACAGCATGTAGGGGTATACAGCATGTAGTGTAGGCAGCATGTAGTGTAGGCAGCATGTAGTGTGGGCCCGAAAGTAGTGTAGGCAGCATGTAGTGTAGGCAGCATTTTGTGTAGGCAGCATGTAGTGTATACAGCATGTAGTGTAGGCAGAAATGTAGTGTAGGCAGAAATGTATGTGGCAGCATGTAGTGTAGGCAGCATGTAGTGTAGGCAGCATTGTAGTGTAGGCACAGTAGTGTAGGCAGCATGTAGTGTAGGCAGCATGTAGTGTAGGCAGCATGTAGTGTAGGCAGCATGTAGTGTAGGCACCCATGTAGTGTGGGCAGCATGTAGTGTAGGCACATGTAGTGTAGGCAGCATGTAGTGTAGGCAGCATGTAGTGTAGGCAGCATGTAGTGTAGGCAGCATGTATGTAGGCAGCATGTAGTGTAGGCAGCATGTAGTGTAGGCAGCATGTAGTGTAGGCAGCATGTAGTGTAGGCAGCATGTAGTGTAGGCAGCATGTAGTGTAGGCAGCATGTAGTGTAGGCAGCATGTAGTGTAGGCAGCATGTAGTGTAGGCAGCATGTAGTGTAGGCGCATGTAGTGTGGGCAGCATGTAGTGTAGGCAGCATGTAGTTAGGCAGCATGTAGTGTGGGCCCAGCATGTAGTGTAGGCAGCATGTAGGTAGGCAGCATGTAGTGTAGGCAGCATGTAGTGTAGGCAGCATGTAGTGTAGGCAGCATGTAGTGTAGGCAGCATGTAGTGTAGGCAGCATGTAGTGTAGGCAGCATGTAGTGTAGGCAGCATGTAGTGTAGGCAGCATGTGCTTATATTGTTGTGAATCTCCGAAGGCTGTCTTTTATTGCTTTAATTAAAATTGCTGGCAGTTGTTGATGCTCTTCCACATTACCATATGTGACATGTGGATAGATAAGTGTTTAGTATTACAGCATTCATACATGACGCAGGTATATCATATATGACGCAGGTATATCATATATGACTCAGGTATATCATACATGACGCAGGTATATCATACATGACGCAGGTATATCATATATGACGCAGGTATATCATATATGACGCAGGTATATCATATATGACGCAGGTATATCATACATGACGCAGGTATATCATATACTTGCTGAATCTTGAGAGTATGTTCATAGTTTTGGTTTTTATATTTTTCTTACAATGTGTTGGATATGAGAAAATTTTAATATACCGTTAAGGTATAAGTCTATATAGTAGAAGTATTTACTGAAATCTCGATATTGAGCTCAATGAGAGATCTGATCTTATTTTTTGCCCTCAGGGAGGCCACGGGGAGGCCACAGAGAGGCCACAGGGAGGCCCAGAAGGCCCGCAGATGTGAAGACCTTCCCCCTTAACATAAGAACATAAGAATGGAGGAACACTGCAGAAGGCCTACTTACCCATACAAGGCAGGTCCTTATCAAAACGACCTCTACCCAAAGCTACCCAAGAATTTACTCCCGTTCCCAATGGCACCAATCAAACACAGCCCCTCCCTTGTTATAATTTCATCCCAATATGTCGGAGACCCTTAGAGCATGGGGCAAGTGTGCTCTAAAGTTCCTCAAAGAGCTGGGTGAAAAGCTCATCATAGAAACTAAGGACCACAGTGCGACCAGCTTCTTCTTTCAGAGAATCAGTGTTGCGATCCGGAGAGGAAATGCCTGCAGCATTCTGGGCACGCGGTCCACCGCCAAGGAGCTGGACGAAGCATTCGAGATGTAGCTCTGAGTTATCTATGTTTTTTTTTACTCCATATTGTATTATTGTCAATGTATTTTGTCAATGTATCATGTTGTTAAATAAAGCATATGTAGAATATATAGGGGGTGGTAGTGTCAGCATAGTTGCTGATCCCCTGCGTATGTTTGTGTAGCATATCTGAATATCATAGTACCATCTATATATTTTATATAGATGGTCCTTTGCTAGGCCTAGGGGCTAGCATGTGACGTCATGTGATGCCACATGTGAGCGTCAGACGCTCTGCCTCTCAGTTCCAGTACTCACCTAATTGTACTCGCCTAATTGTAGTTGCAGGGGTCGAGACTCAGCTCCTGGCCCCGCTTCTTCAATGAATGCTACTAGGTCCTCTCTCTCCCTGCTCCATGAGCTTCATCATACCTCGTCTTAAAGCTATGTATGGTTCATGCCTCCTCTACATCGCTAGCCAGACTGTTCCACTTCCTGACCACTCTATGACTGAAGAAATGCTTCCTAACATCCCTGTGGCTCATCTGAGTCTTCAACTTCCAAGAGTGACCCCTTGTTTCTGTGTCCCCTCTCTGGAACATCTTGTCTCTGTCCACCTTGTCTATTCCGCGCAGTATTTTGTATATCGTTATCATGTCTCCCCTATCCCTCCTGTCCTCCAGTGTCATCAGGCCGATTTCCCTCAACCTTTCTTCATAGGACATTCCCCTTATCTCTGGAATTAACCTTGTTGCAAATCTTTGCACTTTCTCTAGCTTATTAACGTGCTTGACCAGGTGCAGGTTCCAAACTGGTGCTGCATACTCCAGTATGGGCCTGACGTACACGGTGTACAGTGTCTTGAAACATTTCTTACTTAGGTATCGGAATGTTAACCTCAGGTTTGCTGCAGCAGTTATCTGGTTGATGAGTGCTTTCGGAGACGTGTTCTGCATAGGCATAGGCGAGACAGGTAGGCTGGGCTATACTCCCCTCACAACTTTACTAATATAAGTGAATACAATCCAACAAGTGTGTTTATCTCCAACCATCATTTCTCCACGGAACCCTCCCAACAGCAAGAGAAATTTTTCAAACAGCTTCAGGGAGAACCTTGAGTTTTCCCTGAAGCAAGTTTATTCTTTTATCTGAGGATGAGGGTCCCTAGTACAGTTGTAGAGGTGGTACCTCCCTATACATACAGTGCCGCTCTCATTGTTTGTGCATCGATGGAAATATGCAACACTGCTTCTTATTATTATAAAGATCCCAGAATAGATTAATCTAAGTGGTGAGTTAAAACAATCATAAAATGCATGATTTGAATCCAGTGTTTGCAATAACAATGATGTGCTTCTTGGAACTGATGTGTGTATTTAGCACAGTTCCTGTAGTTTATCTTATCTTATCTTTACCCCAATGATAATAAATCCTTTCCAGGTAGTGCAGATAAATGGAAGAGGAAGAGTTATTATGCCATGTTTTGTATATCTATAATGGCTTTATGACCTTAAGAAATGCGATGAAAATATTATTAAGACATATTTATATATATTGTAAAAGTCTTACGTGATACAGTTATATAAACAGTGAAGCAAACACGAATTAAACATTCTAACACAATTGTGTATGACAGTCCTCTGTCATGTTGGTAGACAAAGTATAGAAAACGAAGATATGCGTAGAAGAGCAAGGGGGGACTCGCGCAGGCTGCTCCTCTCCTCCCCAGCCTGTCACAGGCTGAGAGCTGGACGACTCACCCTCGCCTCCCCACTAGTTCGCGCCTCCTTCCCTAGCTGAGACCTGGTACAAGCGGAGAACTGGGCACGATTCACACAGCCACCTCGCAGCTTGTCTGCTCCTGCTTCCCTGCTGAGGTTTGACACAAGCACAGTATTGGACGACGGACACCTCGCGTTTGTTGCCAGTCGTCAGCTGCCAGCGGCCCACGAGAAGTAGCCTGTCTGTGGCCAACGAGGAGCAGCCTGTTTGTGGCTAACGAGGAGCAGCCTGTCTGTGGCCCACGAGGAGCAGTCTGTCTTTAGCCCACCACGAGAAGCAGCGGGCTGTCGTTCCACGGTAAGTACACTCATTCTTACGCTGCTATCGAGGCTCGCGTACTGATAATTGATATTCTTATTATAAAGCGAATGAAAAGTAAAATACGAACTATGACAGACATGTGTAGCTGAGCCAGTATAATGACCACCTGTCGCCCTGAGTAGTTTAACCAAGTCTTTAGTAAGTCTTATCTAGTCTTTGCCAAGATTTTATTAAATAGACTTGTTATAGCTCCCCCTCAATGCTTCACACAACAGTCACTCTGCCAAGTGTGTTATATTCATATGTACTTATCGTATCCACGGGAAGCGCTAAATCCTGAGGAATGGAAGACATAATCAGGTTTGATCTTCGAATGAGTAGAGGTACCTCCAGTCCCTTGGATCAAAGACTTTTTCACCGACATCAAGGCATAGGTATAAAACCAGACGACTGTACGAGGGTCATTAACTCTGCAGGTATCCTGAACACCACGAGTTAAGGGTCATAAATTAAGGCTGTATACTACTGGTCAACAATAATCTAATTTCGAGAATAGGGATTAAAAATAGTTCTTTAGTGTATATACACTGAGAGATACACAAGTCTCGGAGTATATGCCTAATGTATAAATATTGTATTAAATACGGAGATATATACCACAGTGGAAAAACAATGAGAGATATATGCCTGGGTGTATATACACTGATACACACCTTGGTGTATATACGCTGAGATATATATATACACTTCGGTGTTTTATATATGAGATATATATTTTGGTGTATATACATAGAGTTTTTAAAACCTCACATATATATATATATATATATATATATATATATTATATATATATATATATATATATATATATATTTTATATATATATATATAATTATATTATATATATTATATATATACATACATACATACATACACATAGATACACACCTTGATGTATACACTGAGATATTTACACCATGATATATTCCACAGTATAAAAACAGTGAGATATACACTTCGATGTATATATGCACAGAAGTACACATTGTATATATACAAAGAAATATATTTGTATACATACACAAAAATTATAAATCAGTTTGAATATGCACATTTTCACATTTCAGTGTATATATATTAAGATACATATAAAAACACTGAGATATTCATCTTGGTGCATATACACAGCGAAACAGCTCTCAGTGTATATACACTGAGACACATACACACGCGTCAATATATAAAAACTGACTGCCATACACATCTCGGTGTATATACCACTTGACTCCCCTTTTTTGAAGGCTGTTTTAGTACCTTTACGCAAAACCCACACATTGCTCGCGCGGCATACACCCCACACACACACACACACACACACACACACCACACACACACACATACACACACACACACACACACACAAACACACACACACACACACACACAACACACCACACACACACACACACTCAAGGAGAAAGATCTTGGGGTGAGTATAACACCGAGCATGTCTCCGGAAGCACACATCAACCAGATAACTGCTGCAGCATATGGGCGCCTGGCAAAACCCGAGACCCGCATTCCGATTACCTTAGTAAAGGGAATTTGTTCAAGACACTGTACACCGTGTATGTCAGGGCCCCTTTCTGGAGTATGCAGCACCTGTTTGGAACCCGCACTTGATAAGCACGTCAAGAAACTAGAGAAAGTACAAAGGTTTGCCACAAGGTTAGTTCCAGAGCTAAGGGGAATGTCCTATGAAGAAGATTAAGGGAAAAACGGCCTGACGACACTGAGGACAGGAGGGTCAGGGAGACATGATAACGACATATAAAAACTGCAGGAATAGACAAGGTGGACAAAGACAGGATGTTCCAGGGAGGGGGACACAGAAACAAGAGGCCACAATTGGAAGTTGAAGACACAAATGAGTCAGAGAGATATTAGGAAGTATTTCTTCAGTCATAGAGTTGTAAGGCAGTGGAATAGCCTAGAAAATGACGTAGTGGAGGCAGGAACCATACACAGTTTTAAGACGAGGTTTGATAAAGCTCATGGAGCGGGGAGAGAGAGGGCCCAGTAGCAACCGGTGAAGAGGCGGAGCCAGGAGCTAAGACTCGACCCCTGCAGCCACAAATAGGTGAGTACAAATAGGTGAGTACACACACACACACACACACACACACACACATACACACATATATACACGCACAAAATGAGTCATGGTACGTGACGAGTGGGCGCCTGCGACGAGCGGGGTTCCACAGGGGTCAGTCCTAGGACCAGTGTTGTTTTTGGTATATGTGAATGACATGACTGAAGGGAGAGACTCATAAGTGTCCGTTTGCAGACGATGCGAAGTTAATGAGGAGAATTAAATCGGATGAGGATCAGGCAGGTCAACAAGGAGACCTGGGCAGGCTACAAGCCTGGTCCAGCAGCTGGCTCCTTGAATTTAACCCTGCCAAATACAAAGCCATGAAGATCGGGGAAGGGCAAAGAAGACCGCAGACACAATATACGCTTGGTGGTCAAAGACTACAAACCATATTCAATGAAAAGGATCTTGGGGTGAGTATAATACCGAGCACATCCCTTGGGGCCCCCACATAAACAAGATAACTGTTGCGAAATATGGGCGCCTGGCAAACCAAAATAGCGTTCCGATACTCAGAAAGGAAATGGTTAAAGCTCTTCATTTTTGTACGTCAGGGCCAATGGAGTAGATCACCATTTTGGGAAAACCCACCCCCAGGTCAATCGCGGGGGGAAAAATTTTAGAGAAAGTGCAAGATTTGCAACAAGACTAGTTCCAGAGCTAAGGGGATCCCCCTACAAAACGAAGGTTAAGGGAAATCAGCCCAACAAAAAAAGGGAGGACGGGGGGTTAGGGGAGACAGGGGAACGAATACAAAAATTATTGTTTGGGAATTGACATGATGGCGAGAAAAAGTTTTCCCCAGAGTTTGGACACAAAAAACAAGGCGTCACAGTTGGAATTTGAGGACTCAGACGAGTCAAAGTGATGTAAAGAAGTATTTCTGTAGTCATGAGTGGTCAAAAATTTTAAAAAGTCTGGCAAGTGATGTTTGGGGAGGAAAAATACATAGCTTTGCGAGGTATGTGAAGCTCTTGGGGAAAAAAGAGAGAGAACCCAAAATAGCGTGGGGGGGGAAGTGGCGGGGCCGGAGCTGGTATTGACCCCCGCAACCACATTAGGTGAGTCAATTAGGGGGAGTCACACACACACCACATATAGCAACAGGAAACGCATGACCGTAATGGTGACGCAGTTTCCATGGATACGTGATGCTGGTTACCTGGGCACAGTTTTAGCCGAACCCCTAATCCTCACTAGCCCTTTTTTTTGTGGTGGTGCCCAATAGGTATAAGTTGCGATTTTGGTTTAAATAGCAACGTTCTTTTGCCCAATAAAGCAAGCGAAAAATTTTTGTTTCTTTTTTGCAAAATCATTCAGAAAAATAACGAAAAAATTTTTTTCATTGTGGGTTTTTTTATATTAAAATTTTCTAAAATTTATTAAAAAAATTTTAAACGTTTGGTTTAAAAATTTTTAAAAAAAGTTTTAAAAAATTTTTTTTTTTGTCGTTAAATTCAGAATAAATTTTGGGGAAAAAAAATTTTAAAATTTTTTTTCCCTTAGGGGGCTTTCTTTTTTCCCGCAAAATTTTTTTTCGAGTTTTTTAAAATTTTATTTTTAAAAAAATTTTTATTTTTTTTTTTTTTTTTTTTTTAATTTTTTTTTTTATTATTTTTTTTTTTTTTTTTTTTTATTTTTTATTTTTTTTTTTAAAATTTTTTTTTTTTTTTTTAAAATTTTTTTTTTTTTTTTTTTTAATTTTTATTTTATTTTTTTTTTTTTTTTTTTTATTAATATTTTTTAAAAATTTTTTTTTTTTTTTATTTTTTTTTTTATTTTTTTTTTTTTTTAAAAAAATTTTTTTTTAAATTTTTTCTTTTTTTATTTATTTTTTTTTTTTTTTTTTTTTTTTTTTTTTTTTTTTTTATTTTTTTAAAATTTTTTTTTTTTTTATTTTTAAAAATTTTTATTTTTTTTAAAATTTTTTTTTATTTTTTTTTTTTTTTATTTTTTTTAAATTTTTTTTTAATTTTTTTTATTATTTTATATTATTTTATTTTTTTATATATTTTATTTTTTTTTTTTTTTATATATATATTAAATTTTAAATATTAAAAATTCAATTGGCCCAAAATATTTAAAATTGTCTTCAAAATTTTTTTATCTTTAAAAATTTTTTTTTTCATAATTTAAAATTTAAAAAAAAATTTTTAATTTTAACCAAAAGGAATTAAAACTTACCTCCTTTTTTTAAAACAAAAAATTTAAAAAATAAATAAAATTTTAGATTTGTTTACAGTAATTTAATACTAAACAAACACAGCGAAATATATTTTTTTCGTAAGGTTCAGAATGATTTTGACGAAATTATTGCATACACAAATTTTCACTTATCCTATATGGCAGGATGAGCGTTGCTTTTTAAGCCAAGAACGCAAGTTCTGCCTATTCGGCACGACATATATATAATAAAGCACAAACATGAATACAGTAGTACAATATATCAAAGGTTACGAATCTCCTTCTGCTCCTTTGAAGCTGGACGTGAGCCAAGTATGTAGCAAACGTTTCCTGTCTGGATTGCCACTCTGAGGCACTGGAATATGAAAGTGACCGCCCTTGGGTCCCTGGTGGTGTCATTGAATCTGGAACGCATTTCTTTGAAGAAATGTGAGGTATTCTTTTCCTATAATCCCTATGACTCATCTCACTGGGACAAATGATACTGATGGCTTATATCTCTGTACCTGTTGATTCTGTACTCTTCCCTGTGATCCCGTCGGGGCGGTTTGCGGGAGTGTGGGTATTGCTGGATGCTAGGTGCTCAGGGCTCTCTCTCAGTTGAGCATCCAGCTGTAGCAAGGCTCCCCTTTATGATGTCGTTGACTTCATTGTGACTTTCGTGCCAACCCTTGATTTTGGAGTAATTTGGACC